CAGTTCTATCGGAACCTTCCACAAGATCCAGGGCAGCATACAGGCGTCGCAGAAGCGAGTGCGAGCGCTCAAGGACTCCCTGTTGGCCTCTAAAGTGAGCCTTTGCACGTCGGATCCCGAACTCAAAAAGCTCTCGGCCACATCACAGGCTTACGATGAGCTTCTTACATCCCTGAATGAGCTGGAAGAGCTGCGCATAGTGCCGGACCAGCTGGAAGCACGCATATCTGAGAAGCGGTTTCTGAGTGCAGTTGAGGTGTTGCAGAATGCGCTGCGCAAACTGAGGAAACCAGAGTTAGATGAGATCGGCGCATTGATCGACCTGCGGAGCTATCTCGCCAATCAAGACACGGCTCTCATGGATATTCTCGTCGAGGAACTTCACGAACACCTATATCTCAAGTCGCCGTACTGCCAGGAGCGGTGGCAGAACCTGGCCAAGACCCAAGGCGCATTCAAAGAGGGCAACTACGAATCAATCACCATTACCCCCTTCCATCAAGCACTGGATGCCATGGACTTCGAAGGGACAGTGGCTGAGGATCCGGCCAAGAACCCAGAGGCCGACACATTCTCCTACATCGCTCTGCTGGTGGAGTCTCTGAACAAACTGGGCAGATTGGAGATGGCTGTCGACACTCTCAAGCAGAGACTGCCTGTCGAGCTGTTTACCATTGTCAACGAGACGCTTAGGGAGGTCGACCAACGACACCCTAGCTCATTGCGCGGCGGCTCGGCTAACGCCCAAGGACTACACATCTATGGTAACCGGGAGACGCAAATGAGGGCGGATGTTATCTACGACCTGCTGTGGACGTTGTTTGGCAAATTTGAAGCAATTGCTGAGGGACACCGCGTATTCCACGAGTCGATCAAGGCGCTCATCCGGCGAGAGGGTGCTGGAAACAACAGCGCGTTGCTGGGAAGCTTCAAGGAGCTGTGGAACCTCTATCAAAACGAGATCCGCTCCCTCCTGCACAACTATGTCACAACGGACGCCGATGTGTACCAGTTCAGCACATCACCGACACTGGGTGCGAACAATGGTAAGAAGGACGCTGTTCGGGAACATCTTTTCAGGTTTGCCGAGGGCGATCCGAAGGCTGTGGACATGACTACTGAGTACGAAGCCTTGGAGAGCATCATTCGGGCTGCTGTTCCTGGTCTGACGGATACGTCTCGCAAGTCTGGCGCTGACAAGAAGCGGCCGACGCTTGATATTAGCAACACCAAGAGGGGAGGTTTGGCGGGTTGGGAGAACAAGCAGACGACCGGCACATACAGATCGATCGTCGAGCCCAGTGTCTTCAACATGAGCTTGCTTCTCCCGCCTACGCTCGTCTTCCTCCAGCGGTTGAAGATGATTGTGCCTCCAGGCTCGGACCTCGCCACTAGCACATTGACATCTTTCTTGGATAACTTCCTGGTCAATGTGTTCCAGCCTCAGCTGGACGAGACTCTGGGCAAGCTGAGCGACACCATCTTTGGCGAAGCTGACACATTCTTGCAAGACCAGGAATGGGCACAGGTTGCCAAGCGCCCCGTCTTCAAGGGCACAACCGCCTTCTTTGCTATTGTCACTGCTTTTTGCCGCATGCTTGGCACTATCCCCCACGACCAGGCCCTGAGCACGCTCATCATCACCCAGATGATGAGATACTACGACCGCTGCTTCGGGTGGTACAAGTCACTAGTGAGCAAGACCCAGGCGCAGGCGGGCGAGCCCACGAAGCTGCGCATGTCAGCGGCAATGACTTTGGAAGAGGGCGATGTCCAAGAGACCATAAAGCAGCTGTGGACCTCCGAACCCCTGGACCGCGAGCTTTTGGAGAAAGAAGTCGGTCTGCTCATTGTCCAGACAAATGAGAAGCGCATGGAGATGGCCGACATCATCCAGGATAAAGACACCATCTCGTCTCTTTGTCTCTTGTATACCAGCATGAAGTGGCTCGCGGTCAAGATTGCAAGCCTCCGTCACATAACCCGCAATGAAGCGGACTCCTCAAGGCCACAGCTGAACCGGGGGTCGAACAAGAGGTGGACGCTCATGAACGACCCTAACAAAGCCACTAGTGAAGATGGACCTGTGTATCTCCCTATGACGCAGGAGACTGTCCAGTACTTTTCCCTACCTAACCTATTCTTACATCTTGATGCTAACCGCGCCAACAGGGCTTTCGACGGCATCGTCACCTCCTTCGAAGAGCTCGCGGCCACCGCCCTCCTAACCCTCCATATGGAGATCCGCTGCGAGATCATCTACTCCCTCCGCACCGCCCTCTCCACAGACACGGCCCCGTACCTCCTCGATCAGGAAGTCACCGAGCCGGACCCGCAGATACTGACCCTCAACTCGGATCTCGTCCTCTACGACGAGACTATAGCGCGGTACCTCCGTGCCAAGGAGACGGCCTTCATTCGCACCGGCCTGGGCCTGCTGATCAACGCCTACCTCGTCACCAACGCGGCCTTCGTTTCGCCCATGAACGCAAAGGGCTGCGGCCGCATGCAGCTCAACATCCTTGTACTGCAGCAGAACCTCAAGAACGTGGAGGAGGGCGTCGACCTCGCGCGCGCGGCAAACTACTTTGCCCTCTTCGATAAGGGACCCGACGCTATCGTCGACAAGGCCCGCGAAGACAAGGACAAGGACGAGCACGCCGACCGGTCTGACACGTTCAATTACGAGGAGCTGCGCACCTTGCTGGAGCTGTGCTTCAGTGAACAGATCGCGAACCCGGAGCGCGGGATCGCGAGCGCCGCCAAGAGGCAGATGGCGGACAAGATGCTCGGCCTCAGCGAGCACATGTGGCAGACGTAGGGTGGATGGGAAAGGGGATTGGCTTCTGGGATCGATGTTCCGCAGGGGGGGGGGGGAGAGGCTGCCCGCCTGCCTATAACGGCTGGACACTGAATGAGTTTAGACATGCTTGCAACTTGCGAGGAGTTTGGGAAGAAAGGGGGGAAGGGTCGGCTATCATTACGAGATACAGACGGTACGACAACCAAAACCTCGCTGTCGGATGCCTCCGAAAGCCGCCATGCGTGCAATGCAGTCTTGATCAATTTTAGGGGGTATTATTCTTGTAGTCTATGGTTTTTTTTCCGTCTTAGCAAACTTTTCCCAACCGCATGTACAAAAACACGAATCCGTGAACTTTTTGCATCGTCCTTCTTTTCTCTCTCTCTCTCTCTCTCACTCTCTCACTCTCTCACTCTCCCCCCACCCACTTACGCCCGATTTCCTACGAAGCGACGAGATCCCTCCCCCTGTTAATCTGCACCTTCTTGTCCTCGCCACCGCTGACGATGCCCCACGTCTGATCCCAGGCGAGGCCAAACACCTTTGCGCCCTCGCCGCCCGCGAGCGCCTTTTTGCCCTTGAGCCACTCCCTGCCGATGCTGTAGACGGCCTCGCTGACGCTGCCGCCGCCCTCGTCCTTGGTGGCGGGCCGCACGCTCCGCAGGTCCCAGATCTTGACGGCGCCGTCGTGAGAGGCTGATGCCAGGCTGTAGTCGTTGTCTGGGGAGGGGGCGAGGGCCGAGACCATGTTGGTGTGGCCGCGTAGGGTGAGGACCGAGGTGGCCGAGGCTGAGGCGCGGGGGTCGAGGAGGGCGACGTGGCGGGCGGCGGAGCCCGCGGCGACGAGGGACGAGTTGCGCGGCATGGGCGCCAGGCAGAGGAGCGGGTGGAGGGTCGTCAGGGTCGAGACGACGGAGCCGGTCGTTAGGTCGAGGGTGCGAAGGGTGTGGTCGGCCGAGACGGAGTAGGCGACGGTGGCGTCGGTGGGGTGGAAGGCGGCGCCGGTGGCGGAGGCGTCAGCGTGGGCGGCGATCATGGCGAGGGCACCCTTCTGCGGCACCGTGACGGACGAGTTGGAGAGCTTAGCACGCTTGACGCTGCTGGCATGCGTGGCGGGGATGTCGTCGGCGTCGACGTCCGGGCTGCCCTTCTTGGACGCTAGCCAAAGGCCGACACGGCCGTCGGCCGAGGCCGTCAGCAGCTTCTTGGAGGGACCGTGGACGTCGAGCGAGTTGATCATTTTCTTGTGTCCGTGTAGCTCGAGCGTAGGCTTGAGCTCGCCTGAGAAGCCGTCGGCCGACTCGGTGTACTTCCAGACAAGGACCTTCTGGTCCAACCCGACGGAGGCGATCTGCGACGAGGAGAGGAACTTGGCGTCCGTCAGGAGCTTGGCGTGGCCGCCGGCGCGGGCCGAGGGGGACGTCGCCAGACACTGGCCGGAGCCATTCCAGACGCGGACGAGACCGTCGTAGCTGGCCGAGAGAATGCGATCCTGGCCCTGGGGGAGAGCGTCGCCGGACCAGCGGCCTGCGGCCGACGTGACCGAGAGGACGTCAACGGCGGCGACCCAGTCGTCATGCTCAAACGAGGCCTCGTAAACGGGGGGCAGCAGACTGCGGACATACTGCAGGGTGATAGTCGTCTCGAGCGAGAGGCCGTTCTCCTTGAGATATTCTTCGATTGTGGTGCGCAGGAAGGTTCCATTAACGAGGAAGTCGAGGGGCACGGGCGACGACGTGTTGAGCATCGACTCGGAGTTCAATATCCTTGAGAGGCCATATCGCTTAATGTCTAGGAGGGGAGAAGGATGTTAGCCGTCAACGTCACAGACCAACAACTCATTGGGTCCCCGGGAAGATCATAGGGCGTACCTGCGGGCACAATCAGTTGCCTCTTGCTCTCGTCCAACTGGAGATCTTCGTGCGTTGTCGTAAAGTTAACCTTCACCTGGGCCGCTGAGGACTCCATTGTAACTGGTTTGAGCTCTTGGGATACACCCAGTGTTTTTCTTGTACTGGTAAGGTTTGATGGCAGATTTGGAGAAGCGAACGTAGACCTGGTCTCCCTTGCGAGAGGCTGCGTGTTCGAAAGGCGGTTGATCGAGTGTAGATTGTACTGTTGAGAAATGCTGAATGCAAGCAAGATGGCACCTTTCCCCGTCCAAATTTTTTTGAAGCTGGCTGTCAGCCTTGCAGAAATCCTTAACCCCGCCGTACCGACTCTGCCCAATCAGTGCTACAGCGCAAAAAGGAACCGGTGTTAGGCTGGACGATGCCCCGCACCCGCCCGATTACCCAAGTACCAGGGCGGCAGCGAGAGCCACTAAAGTGGGAGGACCCTGGTAGATCAACATCCAAGACACAATCCGTCGTCCATGCCAGGAAGACCATCCAAGCAACGTCGAGAAAATCTAGGAAAGTATCTAGTTCCGCATTGAGTGCCTGACATCGAAGGCCCGATGATGATATCTTGTCTGCCAGGCCTTCACCCGATATATTCCAGACCATGCACATTTTGTGTAATCATACAAATTGAAGACATATTTCCTAAACAAGCCGACGAGAAGGACCAGCGTTTGGACTCCGAGACGACTATGACCCTTCTTGAAAGAGCTTAGACTTCGTCTACAGCGACAGCTTGCTCCTTGTTAGCCTCCACAATGAAGGCCTCCTCAATGGCTGACCGCCGTCGGAATACTCTCAGCCACCTCTCCCCCCATCGGCGGAGGAGGGCGTCGCGTTGGCCAGCGCCATCCATTTCCTCCATCATCTCGTCCTTGCTGCCCGAAGCCCAGCTGATCAAGGCATCATCCATCGCCCTGAAAAGATCACGCATAGCCTTGCACTCCCTTTCTTTCGCTTCTTCGTCCGCTTCGGCTTCTTTAGTCAACAACTGTCTGACCCGTCCTGTCACCTTGGCCACGGTTCCAAACACCAACTCGAAGACGTGCGGCTGCGCCAAGGCATCGCCCGACGACTGTCCCTCGACGTGGCTGCTGCCCACAAGGGCCCATTCGATAACCGTGATGGGTAGAAGAATCGAGTAGTTCAATAGCTTTTCGACGATCGAGATAGCAACGCCGGGCTGTGCTGCCCAATACGACATGACTGCGGTGATGATTTGGGCCTTAGCCACCTCAGATGCCGCGCCGACATCCAGCAGACGGTCCTTGGTGCGCTCGATACATGCCAGGACGTGACTGAGCGACTTAGAGCCAACCCAGCAGACAGCCGTGACGAAGATGTCGGTACTTGTCACCAAAGGATCCAAACCGCGTTCTATCGCAAGTGAGTGAATTCGTTCAATGATTGGCTGGAATTCTTCGTCGGGCGCCTTGCGTCTTAGCAACGCAGCGATCTCGCGACCCTCGGTTGAAAATGGAGTGGCTGGTTTTCATCTGTTAATACACGGATCATTAGGAGAAAGATTGTCACTCACTGTCGTCATTGAATTTGAAATCCGGAACATCTTTTTCCTTCTCGGGCCCAATCAAGGACTGGTAGGGTTCAGGAAGCGTTCCCTTGATACGTTGTGCAAAGCTGAGTCGGATTTCCTTGTCCAAGGCCCCAATTATAAACGCCTTTTGGGGATGCAGGTCGGGAAGGTAGACGTCGTCGACCCACTCTGTCCACTTCCAGGTGAAGCCAAAGTTGCTGAGATGATGTGAGAACCAATCGACGAACCTCTGCGAGAGTTCAAGGTCGATGCGGCTGGAGTTGCGGTACATATGCCGAATCGCTCTACCCAAGCTAGGTGCGATGGCTGCAGGCGCAATCTTGCAAGCCTCGGTAAGGACTGAGTGGTAGTAGACAAGCTTGTGCTCAGGTGTTGGTAGTTGGAAGAGCTGCGAGAAAACGGCATCAACAGCCACATCCTCGGGCTTCCATGTTGAGCGGCCAGTCTCAATATCCCTGAGTCGATCAAAAGGCGTCGCTCGCTTGACGAAGGTGGTGTCGGAGAAGTAGCAGTCCAGGTCAATGAGATATCGTGCAGTGACGTTGCGGTTAAAGTCAAGGATATTAATCGTATCAACCAAACCATCTCTGACCAGTGAGGCAGCGATGTCCGTCACAGGAGGCACAGACTCGACGTCTTGATTGCCGTATACTGAGAAGTAGACTTCGGGGAAGAGGGGCCGAGGACCAGCGATGATCTTCTCGGGGACCGTGATAGAGGGGAGGCTATGCTTCGTGGCATTGTCCAGCTTCTCCTGTGCCTCGATCTCCTCCAGTGGCAGTTTCCAGGGTCTAGGAAGGCAGGAAAGTTCCCAGCCATTTGCTGCTTCGCGCTGCAGCTGCTTCTGGAGCAATGCGATCACGCTCATAGAGCCACTGGGCTGGTCCTCCTTCTCGGAAAGGTACGGATCGATCAATGCTTGCAGGGCGTGGGGCTCCGAAGCGATAATTTCTGTCTTGTCCATAAGATCGGCGGCCTTCTGCTGCCACTGACCGGGAGCCGCTGCCATTATGTACGGGATCGTAAGAAGAATGATCTTGACCAGCTCCGTGCCAATTGTCTATGATCTGTTAGCCATCTCAAGAAATGTTAATGAATGCTGCACCTACGTCATCGGAGCTTGCCGTCTGCAAGTCAACAGCCCGACCAAACAACTCCTCTAGAACGGGGAAGATTCCCTCGCCGTCTAGAGAGCTCTGCAAGCAAGCAAGCAATTTCAGATAGAGTTTTACATCCCTCCATTCACCGGACTGAATCTTCTCTTGCGTCGTGGCGCTGAGCTTCGCAAGAATCTCGCCCACAATGTCGGGCTTGAGCGTATTCACCAGGAGAAGTACGCCAGCTACAAAAGGTGTCTTGAGTGGCTGCTCCAACGAGAGCTGCAAGACAAGGCCGATGAAGCTTTCGCGAAGCTCGGTGTCCTCTGCGTTGTCGGCAACGACGTGAGCGATGGCCTGGACCTCCTCGTGCCATCGGCGAAGAGGGGATTCGGCAAGAGAGAGGAGTTGTCTGCGAACCCTTACGTGCAGGGGCGCATTATCGATTCTTCTTCGCGATTGTCGGTGATCGTGTTCATCGTCGTCTGTCGCCGCCAGAGGTGGTTGGTGAGCTCGCGCCAAAACAGACACATAACAGGGGAAGCTTACCTCGATATCTTCTCTTCCTGTTGTTGTATCCACCACCACCACCGCCGCCGCCGTGGCGCCGTCTCTCGTAGTCCCCCATGTCAATGAAGCGTGGGTATAACGATTGAGTGAGGTACTGGATACGGGCAAGATATCTGTAAAGGCCAATGGGTCGGCCGAGGTGAAGCTCCTGGCAAGTGTACGAAGCCTCGAAGTAGGAACCTCAAAGAGTTATGGCGGAAGGAGACAAGCTTCCCCTGCTAGTAACGCCTGCACCCCGGGGCACTTACTTGGAAAGACGCGATGCATAGCTGCCTGAGGCAGCAGAGTATCTGGGGCGCACAGTGTATTTACCCGCCTCAGGTACTAAACCAGTTCTAGTTTCAAGGTACCTAAATACCCAACCAGGTACCAAAGATCAATTCAACCCTTGTTTCTTTAGCAGCAGGATATGAGAGCATCGTCCCAGATCATCTTTTGTATCCAGGCCCACGAGTAAGGGGATGAGAACCGTGACAAAGCAGTGCTTTGAACGAAATAGTGAGCTGCCTAGCATTTATCCTGCTCGGCCACTCTAAACAAAATTTCATAACAGCAGCATTCTTTCCCATTGTCTGAGCAAAGTAGCCAGTCCCAACCCTTTTAATTGACCTCCTTTGGCTCGCCATCGTTGCGTCGCCATGAATAAACAGAGAAAGCTGAAATCTTTTCCTCGGAATCATGCCCAATACCAATCCAGACCTGCCGCTCGCACCTCGCAACAAGCAGGAGAGGACATCCCAACTCCATGCCTTCCGCCGTTCTCCGCCAACAACCATAAAAGGGTTCACCCCCCCACAGCATCCTTAGCAAGTCCACCATGCGTCTGCCGAGTGCTGATAAGCGATGAAGCCCCGCCGGACCTTACGAAGTGATGAAAAGACGAGAAAAGAGTAGGCTCGGGCCGTCCAGACAATCGCCTGCCGTGGCGTAGCGTAGGGAAGTGTTTTCGGTAACATGAGGAAGAACAAAAGTGAAAGCCATCTCGGGTCATGTATCAGGATGTGGTCCAGAACCTAAGTCTTTCGCGAATTACAACGACGCAGCTTCCCAGTGAAATGGTTAGCAACATGTCGCGTAATCAATAGACATGCCTCGGGAGGCCCAGTTCTTGCCACGCCTCCTCAATGTCATCGTGAGACAGTTGACATCGCGAGAAGCGCAGACACTTCGCACATCCTCACCAGCAAGCCACTGCGCTTTGAACGATCGACGCAGCTCAGCTTCTGGTCGGCATTGCACGTTCAACATCTAATCATCATTTGGCCGGACCTTGGGGTGGAAGGCGAGCGCCCCTGCGCTCCATGCACGAATTCCATCTCGGTATGCGCTGGTCAAACAATTGGTTTGCGGACGAGAATAGTCGGGGACGATCCACGAGTGCACTGAGTCCCTGGACAAGGTCTCGGCTTGCTCAATCCAGTTTGGCCATCATATCTGCCTTCGGGATCGGAGTGAAGTTGTCAATGTCCAATCCCCTTCCAGCCAGGACGGGCTTCATGTGAGGCGGCACCAGCTGATGATTCAGGTTCGGCGCAATCGAAAGTTCTATTATCATGTTAGACGCGGCGCAGCCAATGCGGTCTACAAACTTGGCACGTACCATGACGGGTGAAGTCGAACAGAGGGGGCAAGTCCCTAACTTCGCCGCTCTGGTGACGGGAGTCGGGTAGTTTGGTGTTGGGATCTCTCAGCTCGTCAAAAAACGGATGAATCATGGCTTCAACGGCAGCTTGTCTCTCTGTCGGGGTATACTCGAGGAGGCGCGCGATCAGATCGATCGCATTCGCGTCCGCCTTTCTAAAGACCTTAGCAAAGGGATGGGGCTTGATCTGCGGGAACTTGTGTTCCATGTAGTTCGGGTTCATCGTGCGGATTTGCTCTCGTGTAGGCGTGCCGAGAACCTTGATAATCTCGACAAGCTGGTCGATGCCTGATTCTCCGGGGAAGAGAGGTTGTCCGAGCATGAGTTCGGCCATCACACAGCCGGTGGACCAAACGTCTGTCAAGCAAAAGAGTTAGGGCTGATACGCCATCTTGTTCAAACGCGATTAGCTTACCGATCTTGGTGGTGTAGTTCGTGGCGCCGAAGATGAGTTCTGGCGCTCGGTAGTATCGTGAGCAGATGTACGACACATTTGGCTCGTTCTCGACCAAAATCTTGGCGCTGCCGAAATCGCAAAGCTTCAAAATACCCGACGCGGGGTCCAAGAGGAGGTTTTGTGGCTTGATGTCGCGATGGCAAATGCCTTGAGAGTGTATGTAGGCGAGAGCGCGGAAAAGCTGGTAGATGTAGAGCTTGACTTCCAGGATTGGCATTGTCGTCTTCATCTTGTTGAAAAAGCGGGACGCGCGGTAGACCGTCTCGGGTACGAACTCTTGGACGAGATTGAGATACACCTCGTCTTTCTACGCTGGGTTAGCCAGGTGGTCGTCTGCTGCTGGGCGAGGCTCCTTACACGTTCGCCATTGGAGTAGTAAAAGGCCTTCAGTTGCACGATATTGGGGTGCCGGACAATCCGCATAATCTGCAGTTCGCGGTTCTGAAGTTGCTGTCAGCACGCCGCGGCTCGAGGGCCAAAAGGTGAGGGTTACAGACCTTGAATCGCTTGTCTTGGAGGACACGCTTGATAGCCGCATCCTCTCCTGAAGGCGAGAGCTTGGTCTGGAAGACGACACCGAAAGAGCCGTTGCCCACAATCTTGCATTGAGTGTACTGGAGATCTCTCGTTTCTCCAGTGATTCCATCCTGGACCTTCTCGCGAATAACCTCTGGTGCAGGCGTTAGCATGACAGGAACAGGCTGCTCGTGGGAATTGCCGCTGCTTACCTCCCATCCTGAGAGTGTTAAAAGCGGCGGGGCGATTCTGCGCCATGGCTCGGAAGGTGTTGTCAGCACGGCAAAAGCCCTGCTATTGTAGGCCGACGTTGGGCGAAGTGAGGTCGACAGGAATGAGGGGTAACGAATCCGTTATTCGAAGGCGGGCCGTGATGGGCAGCGGGGAACCAAGGCTGTTTCGCTGGTATCGAAGTCGTGCAGTTATGATTGCACGAGAGCCAAGTTGGAAACCGACGAGTCAATCGCTTGTTTCGAGGGCCTCAGCTATGGACGTGGTTGTGGTCGTGAGACGGGTTGAGAAGGGGAGCGGCACCGGCAGCGGATTCGTGTCGGGTGTCGGTTGAGGCTTCCCCAAGGACTGAATCCAATTGCACTATTGAGGTCGATGGGCAATCTGCAAGGAGCTGATTGATCTCATTAGCAGGGCAGCCGAGAGATTTAGGAAGAGAGAAAAATTCGAAAATGTTGATTGTGGTTAATAGGACGAGGCGAATATGGGCAAAGTACTGGTGTGCCGTGCAACGAACAGTGATGAACGAGGATGACGGACGAGGGGTGCGGGGCGAGAGGTATTTTGACAGGGAGAGGAAGAAGGTGGCAGGGCAAGGGAATATGAATGATGGCAACGATGCAAGGTGAATGGTGGCAAGTAGAGGAGCGAAGGAACCAGAGGTTATTGGCAAGGTAGGTAAGGTAGCAGAGCAGGGCCGGCCAAAGCAGGACAAGACCAGGACGGGACGGGACAGAGGACAGAGAATAGGAGGGGGGTGGGCAGTGTGTATATGCGTAGCAGCGCTATGCATGCAGCAAGTACCTAGTGAGGTGATTTTTCGCTCAGGCAAGAGGGAAAATGCCAGGTACGTGCAGACCAGTAGCGCGAGGCAGCTACAGATGCCTTACATGGGGGAAATAGGTCACAGCAGGGCAAATACCACGCTTCGTATGTGGGTGAACTGGTGACGACGGGCCGAGAGACAGGACAAGGTACAGTAGGCTGTGGTTGTAATGCTGGAGGTGGTGATGGTGGTGGTGGTGGTGGTGGGTGGGAAGGGGGGAAATGGTGATGACGGCACAGCACGTCGCTGAGGGGCAGGTCGACCAAGCTCAAGGATCGTGATGTTTCTAACCCCCGTGCAACGCAAGCAGGGTAGGCTGGTGGGGTTGGAACGTAGAAGACAAGAATTACTCACAAGGACTGGCAATTGTCGGCGAAGGCGGGATTGCGGAAAGAGACGACCGAGACGAGAAAGAGAGTGTGTGCGTGTGTGAGAGGGAGAGAGAGAAAGAGAGACAGCGCAAGAGCGAGAGGGGGAACCTCTTGAATTCGAGGTAGCTGCGGCGGCTGCGAGGTGCAGTGAGAGTGGGAAAAGAGAAACGGAGCAGAGGCGCTGGCCGCTCTGCTTGGGTGGCTGGACCGAGACAGCTGTCCTCCAAGCGAGAGCAGAGACGAGAACGGGTCGAGGACAGGGCGGTATGAGCGACCGTCAACGATTCGGCGTAGGACGTTTTTTATCTTTTATTTCTGGAGAAAACGGATATCGAGAGCGGGTGCTGTTGATGGCAGGGAGAGGCAAGAGAGGAAGCGATGCACGGGGAAACTTGGTGAAGTTCGGGTACCCGAGAGGTGGGAGAAGGAGGATGTTGTCACGCCGTTTAGAGAAGCGCGAGGTGGGTTGGTTCCAGTGAATGGTGGGAAAGATGTCGGACAGTGGTGGTGGATGGATGAAGTACTGGACTGGGGAGCAAGAGCAGGAGAGAGAGGTAGGGATGTACTTTGCAAAGAGGGGCAACTGGGGTGGTTCGTGCTTCTTGTTCTTTTGGGCTTGAGGTCTCGCGGACCATACGGCAGGGCAGACTAGCGCGCGCAGCTGGACAAGGAATGACGGAGTGCATCTCAAGTCCCCAAAACTAACTAGTCCAGGGGGTGTGAGAGACTCTGAGAGGGAGGGAGAGAGAGAGAGAGAGAGAGAGAGAGAGGGAAGAGCAGTGAAGCATCCCGGAATCAAACAAGATGAAAACAAAAGACCAGGACACGGGAATAAACACAGGAGAAAGTCGACCTGCTACTTGCGGTTGCTGCTACCCTTTTCTACAATCCCATTTTGCACAACTTCTGGTCTGTCCCCGACCTGCGTTCTTCACCTTTCGTATGTCGCCTGACCAAGCATGGCGAGGTTCCTTCCTTCGCTGCCTTCGCCCCTCTTGCTTCTGGTTCCCAAGACCGAGTGAAGCGACTGCTTGACATTAAACGGCTTTGATAGAGTCAATGGCCAAGGTGGATGGCAGTATCCCTAATCCGCTGCGAGACAAGAGTGCCATTTTGAGGGGGGAAGCAAGCCGCGTGCAGTGCCGACTAGGATCTGTCGGGCGAGTTCAGTCCGGATTTCTCTGAATAAGGCCATCGGTTGAGGTAAAGTCGAGACACCACGCAGGGACAGTATGGATAGATGGACACTCATGAAAGAGGACAATGTGATTCACTTCGAGTCGGGCTCAAGGTCAGGTCAAGCCGAATCACTCAGACACTCAACCGTCAACAAGACAGTGGAGGCGTGGTTCTTCTCCCTTCTCTCCCCTCGGATCAACAAAGACAATCGTGCGTCATCATCATCATCGTCGTGCATCATCATCATCGTCGATGCTGCACGCCCTTGAGACGGGGAAGGTCAAGTTGGCCGGGAACTCTGAGATCTGGGAGACTGAATATGCGGACTCAAGTCTGGGAAGCGCAGGTAAGGACACCAGCAAGAAGAAGTAGTACACTTCAGGCTCCGGTCTACATTACATAGGTCTAGGTCTAGGTCTAGGTCTAGGTCTAGGTCCGGGTCCAGGGCCTCCAGGTCGGGATCGAAATTCGGTGGGCGAGACATGCAGAAGGAGAGACCAGAACAACGGCGGGATGCTGCTCGACTGGGTCGGCTGGTTAGCCTTTCATCGTCGTCCCCTCTAGACAAGGACCCGCTGCACCAGGCTTGCTCATGTGCTCAATTTGAGACGGGGAAGCAGGCGCTAAAACTCGGCAAGCGGAAGTCAAAAACCCAATGGGCGCTCATGCTGTTACTCCTGCTGGCTCCTGTCAGGCACTTTCCCAGGTTTCTGCCAACCCGGACGACAAACACACCAGGAGATCAGATCGGTACGTACCTTGCCGTTTTCCTCTCTCTTTTACTGGGCCTGTGCCTGTCGCTGTCGTCTCGACGTAAGGTCGTATGCGTCTGCGTGCCTACCTGACTTGAAAAGAGACCTTGGGTTTAAACCACCACTTGTTTTCTGCAGGCACTAGCTCTTGCTCGTCCCAAGACAAGATGACCCTACCGGGCAACTTCGTCAACAAAGACGCCGGGTTGGGATCTCTGCCATCGGTGAGTCTGACCGAGCACTGGGACCGGGAGAGAAAGAGGTGGCTACCGGTCGATGTTTCCCATGCCAGGAGAGACAGACAGACACAGGCTGGCTTTGGTAGCAACTGCCTTGTTCCCTGAGCATTCAATGTATTTATCGCCCTATGCATCTTAGTCAGCCTATTTCCCTTTTCCCTTCAGGTCTTTCTCTATTTCGTTTTGCTTTGTTTTCCTTTCAGTCGTCTTTTCTGTCCTGTAGCTTCTCTTGAAATCCCTTGGGCCCTCACGATGATTGGTGACTTTACCTCATTGCAGTTAGCTCTTTACCTGTGCCTGCAGTCTCTCGTCTCCTCAATCTTGGGGTCCCACGTCTTCCATGCCTTGAGTCACCACGGACCCGTGTCCGTCAACATCGGTACTGCCGGGTACCTCTCTAGGCCACCTGACCAGCTGGGTCTTCCATGCGTACCGGCCCAGTACCATAAGACGCTAGTCGACCGAACATGGTACACACTAACCGAGTACCAATGCGCCTCAAGCCCGAGGACTGACCTGCTGAGCGTCCCCAATTCTGCAGGGTCCAGTACCTATGTACTCGCACGGTTCCTCCACATTGAACGTTGTATTTCCTCGATTTTGGTCCAAAAAATCCGCCTCCCTCGACACTGGACATTTTCCCTGCGCCAGTCTGCTGCTCTTTGACCGAGTATTTGGTTTTGACTTTCTCCTCACAGTCATTGGCCTACTGCTGTGCTTCTACGCGTACGGGGAGGGGAATACGCAGGAAGACGGAGTTCGCTAGTAGGATCGGCCCTGTACGCTACTGAGGGGTCATTCCCTTCATCAATATGGTTTTTGCAACGATTCACCCAGGGGCTAGGTCCGAAGATCAAGGCAGCATCGAGACAGCCGCAGGACCAGAGGCTTGGATATCGTCACCTCCGACAACCGGCGAGCACTTGACTAATCGTGGATAGCATCGTCTTGAGGACAGATGAATCTGCTCGAGAGAGAGCCTCCTCGTGGAAATTTACCTTTGTTCATCTCTCTACTGATCAGTCGAGGGCGATTCTACCAACAGCGAGTGCTGTCTTTTTTTTTCTGTTTTGCGGGACGGTACCACACGGTCCTTACGGCATAGATATTTAGACATGGAGTACGGATACTATGTTGCCAGTTTCCCGTCTTCGTTTACTCATGAAAGACGAGGCATGCACATCTTTGCTGATGCCAGTCTCATCTGTACGTGAAGACTGGGTAGCTACTGACAGCAGCTCTTTCGGCCTAAGCTGCAGACAAGTGAACAAGCATAGCCACTAGTCCAGCAAAATTGCAGACACGGTCCTAGTCATATGCTGTACAGGAGGAGTTTTTTTAGTCTTTTTTTCTACTTTTTTTTCTACTTTTTTTTTCCTACTTTTTCTTTTTTGCTTCCTTTAATGATAGTATTCACCTGCAGCACATGCTCTGCAATATGATGGAGTCGCATACGCCCTGGTCGTTTCTGGCGATTTTCACGACCGTCTTGGAATGCGCGAGCAGGGATGCGTCCACTTGGCTAGACCTTGCTGAGCCTTGAAAAGAAGAGGGGAGGGGCTGGCGGGACGTGGAGGGATATTGCTGGTTCTATGCACGGGTCAGAGCTCCTGTGGCTTGCGCGGTGGTGGTGTTTGTTTTCTTATGGACTGGTAGCCAAGCACGCGGGGGCGAAGGGCAAAGGAAGGAGGCAAATCGGGCTCCTTGACCATTGATGGAATTGCAAAAAGGCTCCCATGAGCCGGTTGCGGACTCTTCACTATTGGCTATGGAGTCTCTGCAACTGTTCTGGACCCCCTCCCCTCCTCGTAATGTCCTCAACCCCGCCAAAGAGACTTATCCAAAGGTCCTATGACGACGTGCACATGTGTGGAGGAGACGGCCAAGTGCGGGGCACCGGGCCCAGGAGGAGAGTCGTGGTTGTGGCTCGTTTCTCGTCGTGAGGGGGGCGTCCAGCAGTAGGAGTGGAGCCTGGTACATTGATGTTTCTCCAAGACCGAAGTACCACAGAAGCAATCCACCGGGTCGCCAAAAAACCACCCGCGGTTGTCTTTTGTTCAGAGCCAAGTGGGGTTGTTGCGCGGGTGGTTTGCAATACATACTACGTGGTAGGTATACATTACATGTACTATCCATAAACCACCGTCGTATATATATGCCCCATTATGGCAGGGTCTCCCTCTCCGTCTAGGCTGGGTTTCTCCGATAAAATTGAGATGCGCAATGCAGTGGAGAGCCGTGTAGCGTAGTGTTGCATAAGGCTCTGCGAGCAACAAGTGAAGGCTGCCGAAGGCCAGGATCAGGAATCCTACCGCACTCGATGATGTCTGGATTTGGACCATTCGATGAGAAAGGAGGGGGGCCAAAGCCATTGACTTTGAATAAGCATTGCAGTTCAGTCGTCCGACTGCTGGTCCGCCGCAGATTACTCAAGTGACGGACAGGACAGTCTTGGTTGATTTTCGTCCAACGTCTATCTGGCCGTTGCTAGAGAATCAGCATTGGGATGGCTGCAGGCCGCGGATAAGCCGATGTGGCTCTCACGTACGCCGCGCTCTTTGATATCCAGTGCAATGCTTCGCGGACGTGGGCAGTCATGCTCCACTCCACAGGTCTTTCGCGAGAGGCCTCTACCAGTAAGTCATGGTCAGTGCAAACTCCGGCTCCTTGTTTGGGCCTTGAGTTTCGACGGAACGTGCGCGGAAACCTTGCGGTGGCGGCAACCACAGAAACAATGGCAGCATCGAGAAGGACTCCACGGGCTGGGCTGGCTGGCTGAGGTCCTACGTCGTTGAATCATGCGGGTTTGAGCCGCACTGGTTCCTGAGCCTCCTAGCCAACATTCCAGGTCCTCTGCCATCAACGACGTGACTATTTTCGTCCGCTTATCCGTCCTGACGGCTGGCCGACCCTCTCAACCGTCCCCGACTCCTGGAAGACTTGTTCTCATCACGCTGCCATTGGGGTTCTTGGCCCCCTCCCCTGTCCTCGTGCCCCATAGTCGCGTGCTGGTACTGTACTTTTTTTCCTTTTTTTCCTTCTTGTTTTCTGGTATGACCGGTCCGAAAAATACGTATTACCTAAGCGCTCGAAGCATGTGACTGCTTCACCCAGAAACGGTTAGACAGCCCTGCAGCAGGATGTCATCCAATGGCAGGGCCTAGCCTAGCCTGACGGCGGGAACCTGGGAAAGGACATGGACTGGGTGGGCATTAGAGCTCACCTCCCCCCCCCTCACCTGCGGCTGCACCGCGGGGCTGTGGGCTTGCAGGCTTGCAGGCTTGCAAGGCAAGTTGCACCTGGAGTGTGATGGATTGTGTTGTGGGAATCGTTAACAAAGGTACCTACCTACCTCTCTCTCTCTCTCTCTCTCTCTCTCTCTCTCCTTCTCTACTTGACCCGTTCTGCGGCGCAGCTCCAGGGTTCGGTCTGTCTTTTTCTGGATACAAACAGGTCTCATGACCTCCTTATGCGACGCTAGTGACAGATTTTAAGTTCACCTGGACCACGAGAGGTCAGCAGCATATGATCATTCCTCCCCCCTCGCGTGGCTCCTGCCTGCCCTCGCCCTCCTCCTCTTGCTTCTTTTACGGCCATGCCTGCTGTAGCCTGTAGGTATTGAACCTGGCCCACTTGGCAAGCGAGGCTCGGCACGACAGGGAAAGAGATGCACAGCCCAATGACTAACTACCTACCTAACTCCCGGAACAGTTGTGCAATAATTTAATTGCGTGACACCTACGTGGCTTCCACCTCGAAGGTGCGTGCGTACACCGCGCCCGTAGAAGGAGGGAACCGGCCGCTGCGCAACTACCAAATTTCCCGAACAATGTAAACCAGAACCACCGTGCGGCCAGCAAGCGACTCAATAACTCCCCGTTTCCCGCTCCGGTTACCTGGGGCTGTCACTGCCGGCCAGTGCGAGGTTGATTGCTGAAGCGGCACCCGAACTGGCAGCAACGCTGAGGGGAGCAAGAGCATCATCTGCTACCTACTGCCAGCGTCGTTGCCAAGACGCTTGCGTCTCGACCTCTTCTCGACTACAACAGCCACTCGCCACATCATCAAACCGAGCCTAAGGATGAACAGCCTCTGTCACAGCGGCCCAATGTGCATCCTGCTGGCCATCGTTCATCATCCTACACACAGCCCCCTATGGAGAGACAGACCAACGGGGTCAAACGTATACCGTCCACCACCGGCGACCCCCGCCGCCCGGGCATCCATTCGGCACCCGGTGCCTTGCCTCTGCCTGCCGAACTGAAACCTCCGAAGCGCGGGACAACGCGAGCTACGTTCGGGGGTACTACAAACGCGGATGGAGGGATTCTAGACTCACATGAGCCGCAATCTCCCAGCTCAGCTACCGCAGCTGCTTCCTCTTTCTCTCTCCCACCTTCGTTCTGATGAACTCCCCGGCTAGGCTGAGGTCATCGCCGCACGACCCATTGTAACAGACCAACAGGCCCTGCTCTCAGAGAAACCACAGCGCATCTTGTCCCTTCGCTGGGCTTGCTGGCTTGCTGGCTGGCTAACCCATTGGATGGCACGAAGCGTGTTGACTATTGAAGACCCGTGAGCCGTCATGACTAATCCCCAGCTTTTAAGTCGCTGTTGGCGCTGTCATGTCCCTGTAGTCGTGCTTGTTGTCTGGGCTGATCGGCCAGCCGGCCTGCCCTAGTCTGGTCTGATCTGGCTATTGTTGCCGCGCATCTGTTGAACGAACCCGCCCATACGGTGCGGTATTAACTGTCAACCACGGGTTCGCGCTCAAAGTTACATTCGGGCTGCGCAACGAAAGGCCGATCATGATCCGGCTACCGTGGCTGGCCCGCCACCGACCCCGAACCGACCTTTGCGTTGGGTTTTTCCATCTACCTGATACGTCCGATCCGATACCTTTTTCGTGGCCACGTGAGCCCTCCAAGGCCGGAGTACCTACTTAACTGCGTGATGCGTATCCGCACATACACTACGTCCGGATGCGTGTATGCACTTCATCACGTCCTTGCTTGACTTGCATCCTAGGCCTGCAGGGCATCGTTGAGGGGAGAAGGGGGCTCCATTCCTGTTGGTTGAGACGCACAGACGGAGCTTGTCGTTGGACCGCCGCGTGCAAGTTCCCATACCGGGCCCCTGTCACGCATGCACCCGTTGACTGGCCTGCCCGGGCCCTTCTTCGAATCCCTGAGCCGAGCGGTAATGCACTACCATACCATGGTACATCTCGTCACCGTGTTCCTCTCGCCGCAGCCGCATGGCCCTAGCAGCATCCGCCCGCCAACCTACTTTGCCTCCCACAGGGAACGGAAGGGGATGGCTCACTTCCAAAGTGGCCCATTCTGTCATACGCCTAAAGATATCCTACTGAAACCTCTCCAGCTCGCACGCCGCAGCGAGGAGATATCCGACAACAGCTACGTTGCTACGCCAGTGCACCATCTTGACCCTACCGCAGCCAGAGCTCACGTTGTTCAATCATCTTCGGGCTCATCCAGCCAGATTTTCCCCTTCTTCGTGTGTAGACCAACACTGAGTGTAAGGGTGCTTGGCGAAACCCCGCGTCACACGCTTGACAAGTAGGAACTCAAATGCCCCAAAACAGCACATTGCGCCAAAGGATGGGAGTCACGATGTAAGACAGAAAAGCGAGTTGTCGTTATTCGGCGATGCTGCTACCACTCCCTTTCGTCACACCCTCTCGGTTGGAGGTGGAGTGATCTGAGTGATCTCGACCCATCCTGCCTCAACTGCAGACATCATATTTGATGCTTGTAGACCCAAATCGCTAGCCGGTCTGGGGCACGAGCATCAAACTGGCCTGGGCATCTTGTGTAGCCCTCGTCATTGGGCAGCTTCGTCACCAGACCTCTTCCTTCTACCATGGATATACCAAGTTGCAACGGCCGCCTGCAGCCGCAACACTTCAATGGGGCGAAGGTTGCTGCGTGTGTCGAAAGGATGTCGGAACATCCCCTGCCATTCCAACATCTTACCCACAATAATGGATCGACTTCTCATCGGTGAGGGTCTCACACGAGCAACGAGGACACACTTCGAGTCACCGGTTACCTAGGATGCCATGATCATAGACATGTAAATTGCCGCCATACCAATTGGGACAAGAGGTCTCTACAATGCGCGGTCGCAAATACCAGGGAAACAAAACTGACATGGGGAACACCGCTTCGGACTGCAACATGCGACTGCTAGCTGTTATCTCATTGACAAGTATCTTCACACTTGCTCGATTCAAACGTCGATGCTGCAGCTTCAGCTTCTTCTTACTCCAAGGCGAAAGGTTCTCGGACCAATGTCCCCTGCATGTACCTGCGGTTGGCTAAAAACGTAGATAAGGTCAAGTCAGTGAGTCGCCTTTCACTTTTGACTTGTCGACCTCTGTGCTGGTGTTCCACCTGTGTAACTATACAACACTGGCCGGCATCAAAGTCGTCTGTCCAAAACATGAGCTCGGTTGCAGTACTGTCGGTGAAGTTCCCAGAGTTCCCAAAGCATCGTCACATAGGTGACCTCTGCTCGGTTTAAGCGCCAATTCGTGTAAACCAAAACTTTCTAAACAAGGCTACAGCAATCCGAAAACTCGCCTAGGTTGAAAGACTCAACCCCAACAGTGACCTTTGGAGGCTGGACTGCGACATCCCGAGATTCCTCAACGCACCTCCGACGGTCACCGTGATGTTCGGTGTGAGAACCCCTTGTCTCCGCATGGGTCGTGCAGCAGTCTTTGCTTCCTCGCCGGCCACCGCTAGCAAGCCGTGCGGAGGCATATCGGATGGAATAATACTATTGTGACAGCAATGCGTCAGATGGGACTCTCCAACAATCGCGAAAGAAGCAGGGCACCCAGTCTGGTGGGGGGGGCTATCAGATGCAACGTCAAATGGTTACCATCTCCGGTCTGTCCAGGAGGAGAACGGCGTTCCTCTACCCCCCTCTGCTGGCAACGCTTACCCAGTGAACCTCCAACCAGAGGCCAGTCTCGATTCTCGTTTGGTTCAAGCTTGCAAGGGCCTCTCTCTGCTAGGTTACCTTGCCATATTAGGTGCTCGATCTTCAGCCCAGGTACATGCGTCTTATTATTGGCATTTCTATCATAATCTATGCCGGCCAAGCTGCCGAAGCTCCTCAGGATGTGCACACCAACTCAACGGTGCAGTCTTGCAACGATCCTCGTCATCTGATGGCAAGACTCCAGACTCCTCTTTTCTTCGATCCCCGTCATCGTTGACGTTTTCTTACGAGTACACGCACAAGGCCCGGCACTGGCTCGAACCGTACGAGCTGTCAATGACCTTGTCCCTGGCGAGGCATCTTGTAGAGAGTAAACCCATCTTGTTGACCACAGGTGCGGGGATCGCTAGTCTTGTCATGGTCACAATGGGCCCGCCAACCACGAAAACCAGCTGCAGGTATATATGAGAGCGCCTGGAGCAACAAAATCTGACTGGTTGCCTGCGAGCTGCTGTACCTCGTCCACTTTGGTCAACTCGCATGCTGAGCTAAACCCGGACCACCATCGCCCAAATCGACCCTAGCATCGGTACGATACAGGTCGACATGGCGTGTCTGCTTTGCCCTCACTGTGAAACTGTGCTGCAGAGCTCTGTGCCATAACCGCAGAGGTGTTTCGTTCACCTGCATCATCGAGTCGCCTCAAAGACGCCTCGTCGTAGTGCGCTGCCAGCCTTTCGGGAAACCAGCTGGCTGTCGCGCGCCCCATTCACATGGTGCTAGCGACTCCCTACCGGTGGCTTCTTGTTTCACTTGCTGTGGAATCTTCAGCTACTTTGTCGATTCGCTCTCACTCTGATCTGATGGTGCACCAACTGGCATTGGATGTAAGCTTCTGAGCGGCTGACTCTCCACCTGACACCGGTGAGACCCGAAAGGAACCGCCCAATCACACCGGTGTCATCGAACGAGCCTGGCCGTCTGTCGCAGCACAAGGAACTTTGGCCAGGAAAGGTGGCTTGTATTGCTGATCAGGGATGCATAGATAAGTCGGGCACCGGCTCCATCGACTGACTGAGGAGGCCCTTCCACGCGTTTCTCGGACGCAGTCGCCGTCGCTGACAAGCCGCGTCTTGTCGTGGCACCTCACAGCAAGCCGTCTCACGCACATGCCCGGTGCCTCTAAGGACGCATCTCCCGCTCAACGGGACCGGCAGGATGAGGTGGCTCCGGGTCTAGGGGGGTTAGTAACGATGTCTGCCGATGGGCGGTTCTGCAGGGCCCGGGCGCGCAAGGATGATTTCCTCGTCTCGGCGCAAAGTCGCAAGCTTCTGCAACTCTTTCCCGCAAAATTTTCTGCCCTATTGTTGGTGCACAACCGTTGACCGTGGCTCACCGACTGACGGGTTGCCGATGGCGAGGTGACGAAACAGCGTCGAAAAAATCTTTTCCTCCTTCTTTCTGGTTTTTGGGATTAGGTTACGTTTGTCCCAACAAAATATCCCTTTACCCATTCACCGCCAAATTGTTGACTGAACTTTGGGACGAGACACTGGCTCTCCTTCGCGTGTTACGAGCCTATGGCGGCTCCGCTACCTCAGTGTCATTCATTCTCATTGAGACAAGTGTCTAAGGGGCTTGACTGACCAGGTTTTAGAGTACACCCGAACTCCTGGTACTTTTTCCTTTTTCTTTATCTTCTTCATAACCTTTATCCGTAGTCGAGTCGGAAAGGATCCGATGTCTTGCTAAACCCAGGGGCACCCAAACATGCTTGAGGTCTGGGCGTAGGTAGGGGAGACTGTCGGTGAGTCTGGTTCGGGCCGGCAACGTTGCCCAACATTCCGTCACCACGAGTATGATATCCTTGGCCGGGTCGGGCCGTGGAAGCTGTATGGTTTTCGTGCGTGGCATAATTGCGTTGGATTCTATGGTATTGGTTCTGCCGGCGATTGCCGACTCTAGGAGGGTCATTACTGTGAGGCTAGTATCTCATCGCCATGAAGCAACCTCGATCGGATGGATATACCAGGACCTTTGGTAACGACACAAGAGATGCAATGTCGGGCAGGCTATACGCTCCCAATTGTTGACAGTATCGAGTGCTGTAGATATGATGAACCTGCTGCAACTGGGCACATCTCTACAGGTACTCGAGTACTAGATTTCGCCGTCCTCTTCATGGATCGCCCTCTCCCCGATGGCTGTAGAGGGGCGACTGTGCGGTCCCGGTACATGAACCAAAGGGACGACGTCGGCCGTCTTTATATGCTAAAGGAAGGTTCCGATAGCAACAGCGCCGAGCCCGGATATGGATGCGCGTATCAGATTGTGGTTCTCGTCCCGAAGGGTCACTTCTCGACGATCTTGGGCAACCTCGGCAGAACCGAGGAGATGGGGACATCAAAGCAGCGTCGCCGAAGGGTCGACCGGGGCTGCCCGCCCCTTCCGGAGCAGGGACTGCTGGTGATAAACTCAGATAGCGGCCGTTGAGCACGTCTCCAGTTCGTCTTTTGTTGTCATTGTTGTCGTAGCCGCCCCTCGGGGGGCCGGTCCGTACAGTATAGTAGAAACGGGTCCCCTGCACCGGAAGCCGAAGCCAGGGAGCGGTGGAAAAGGAAGGTTTCTGTGCCGGACACCATCTCATCTCAACTCAGTGAGGTTGTTTTCTTGCTTTCGTGAAAGGCAGAGCGGCCCGGGATCCGACTGTGGTTCTGCTGTTGGTATCGAAAGTCAAAAAAACGTACGTTAATTATGACGGCAGTTCGCACCGCTAAAGACGGTTCCTCCGCCAAAAGAGAGGCAATCGACCACGTAGGTTTTCGAAGAGACAGCCCATTCTTCTCGCCTGGCAGCCCCTCTCAGGTAGAGCAGAAGAGCCGTAGGCTTCGGATGTCGAAGTCTCGAGGGCAACAGGAGAATGAAAGCTTGCTCTTTGGAGCTGTGCGAGGAAAGCTCTCGTCATACCACCGGACTGTCACCCGTTCGTCAAGGATGCGGCCCTGGGCTGCCCATGAACTCGGACAGTTTCTGGGGTAAGTCGTCACTTGATCCCCCCCCTCTCAATTGCCGAGGCTCCCTTATCGGGTCAGATGCTTCGATGCTGTGCCCGTGTGGCATAGCTATCCTATTCGTCGGTACTTGTCTCTCATGACGTTGTAAACAGACTAAAACATACGCAAGAGCAACAAGAGAAAGAAACGCAGTGAAGTGACAAAACAGATATGGAAAACCCGAGACGCGGTGCTTCGTTCTACCCGATAAACGCACCCTGTGCTCATTGACAGAATACGCGCTCCACGATCTAGAAAGCCAGCTCGAGCCGTCCGTTGACATGACGGTATGATTCAACGACATGCATTCGAAGGCCTCGTATAAGATATTAACCGCAATATTGAGAATAAGTAATAAAAAGGGGGTATGGGGAAGAAATAATAAGTTTCTGGGTGATCGGGAGTTGAATCTCCAGCTCATACACGGGAGCTGAAGTGACATTGAGGGAGGGGCTTCTTCCGTGTCTTGCATTCAAGAGAGACGTTTCCAACGAGGGAGACTTCGCGCCGGCTCGCTCCGGCAGACGAGTCGGACCCCGTCAAGGCTTTCCGCGAGTCCCATGCCGCGTGGCTGCGTCTCGAAATACCAGCGACGACCAAAAGTCCGAGTAGCCCCGAGAAATCTGCGACGTGCAACATTCCCAGTGACCCCAGGCCGCTATTTTTTAGGACCTAAGCCTCGGCAAGCACACGCAGGCCATAAACGCAAGGGGGGGATGGGAGACAATGATTGATGTCGTGGATCACCGGGGCCTCTTGCGAAGGCAAACTGAAGGCCTCTTGCGGAAGCACAAACCGTACGGACCTTGCCCGCCGGGCCAAAGAGCGGTCCCATACCGGCGGAATCCACCGGTACTAGAGTCGGTCGGTTTCTGTACCGAGAGGTCCGCCACGAAGCCTGAACCGGCAACCGCTTCCCGCTGCGTACCGTATGTCTCGCGGGGAGCATGCACCCACAAGCACACCCGAAGTGACGGGAGGGGGGGGGCTGCTTTAACCCTCCTCGGAGGTGGAGCTCGTCTTCGCTGCTTCGTCGCTGCCGCCTCATACGTTCTGATACAAGTGAGTGAGGACGAGCAAAGGGATTCGGATATCAGCTCTGCCCCGACCCTTTTTGTTCAAGTCCTCTCTCTCTCTCTTCCCCTCTCTCTTTCTCTCAAACCCGACGCATGACCCTTTGACGGAGCGCTCGGCTGCGGTTCAAAACTGGAGAATAAGATAGCCCCCCCTCGCGTCAAACGCTAACCTGCCTGGAGGCCGAACCAGCTTACCCCTCGTTTTTGATCATCATCGAACTTGTATTGTCCTCGAGCCGTCTTGACCATCTTATCACGGGAACAGTATAACCAAACGAAGCGTTGGCCGCAGACAGCGATGATGTTGTCTGATAAATTGCAAACAAACATCGCTGGCATGTAGCAGAGCCCTGAAGGAAAGAAGCAAGCAAAACGCCTCGGGAGGAGAAAAAACAAAGAAGAGGCTCACATAAGAACTGTAGACCTATTGCCATACCGCCAACGTCAAACCCCATATACGCCCCCCCAGAGTTCCTAGCGTTATAATTACACATCCGCCCCTTCAGATTCCAATTCCTACAATCTGCCTCTCCGTCCTCATACCACTCGTCGTCGCTTCGAATGCCAATTGAGTCTCCAAGTATCTCTCAACAACCGATCCCGATGGCTGAGCAGGAAAGAAAGTGCCTCTCTCACAAGGCGAGATTGTAGCTGTACTCGTCCTCCATGTTCTGGCTGACCCAGAGCACGACGCTGCTCAGCCCGACCAGCGCGTTGGCGACCACGTTCTCGATGCCCATGCCGAGCGCCGGCATGCCGACATCCCGCACGACGAACTTGAGCACGAAGACGGTGACGCCGCCGGCCATGCCGCCCGCGAGCGCCGCGAAGCCGAGGAACAGCACGACGCGCGCCTTCCACGCCACGCCGTTGCCGCTGTACGAGAAGCTGTCCGCCGACAGCCGCGCCTTCTCGACCGAATTGATGATGAGCATGCCCAGCGACGAGAAGATGAGGGGCAACCAGTCGACAAAGGTGACATGCGTGTCGGAGCCGTTCTTGGCCGACTTGGACCAGACGGCCGAGTCCAGCATAACGTAGAATGCGATGGAGAACTGGGAAGTGGAAGGAAAAGACGAAAGTGTTAGCCGTGATTTTCGAGTTTTGATAGGGCCTGGATGGTCCCGGAGGATGGGGAGGGTTGACAGGCATCGAACGAGACCCGGGTAGATGGTAGGCTAACAAAGGGGGAAAGCTTACCAAAGCTCCGGCGCCGTAGACGCCAGAGTTACGCGCCCAGATGCTGTTCAGCCATTCCGGCTTGCTGAATTTCCAAAGGCGCTCCTCCTCCATGTTTGCGTGTGTGGTGTTCGGGGGTGAATGGGTAGGTAGCTCAAGTCGGCGACCGTCGCGGACGGTTCGTTCGGGCACACTTCGGGGGCGGGGGGCGGTGTTTGCGTGCTTTGACCAACGCACGAAGCTACAACTGCAAGGGAAAGTAGAATGTGTTGTTTCGAGATTGGGATTACGGAGGGTGTATGGTTCGGCCGGCGGCGTGGTTCGTGGGTGGTGTCGTAGGCTGCTCGGCGTAAGGCTGGATGGAGGTGACGAAGGGTCCGGATGTTGGCCGCCTTGACGTTGATCCGGCACAGCTGAGGCGTCACAGTCCCCACCACCCGATCCCTGTTCCAGAGCTCTGCGTCATCACGTGATTCAATATCACGTGCGTACCCATCTTCGGTGTGCTTGCTGGTCATGCATGGGTGAGAAGCACCATCGAACATCTGATGAGGCGATAAGGACGACCACGTTTCGAGATCTCATTAGCAATGACTAATGTCACCTTCCAGTAGTGTGGCGAGTTGTCAGTGCATTCAGACTGTTTGAAACTCTCGACAGAGAATCTGCATTATGGGCTCTTCGTTTACCAACTCCATCTTGAACTCCCTTGCCTTGGACTCGACACGAGCACCGGCCCATAGACGAGACCAGACATGAAGATGCGGCGTGGATCTTCCGCCGTGAATCCGGTCGGTGCGGACCGGATGTACGTGATGTTCTATGTTCATTGGACACCCGGTCAACATGAGTTGGTCGCAATGCATGGGAAACGAGGGAATGAGGGGCATTCCCACCTCACTCCGCAACTCAACCAGGCAGGCGCATAGCCGCTATACAAACACGACACGGGGGCCCTGGGAAACACGATTTGGCCAAAGCCGTCACGGCCGACCTGCATTGAGGACTGATCCTATCCACGCCCGTCTCGGAACGCTTGAGATGAAAAAGTAGACAAAAAGGTCCTAATAGTACACTAACAATTACTGGCACACCTGCCATCATCGGCCCACGAAATCGTCGTCTCATACTTCTCCACCAGGAGACCATGGTCGGTCTGCGACGTCCGTCCAGAGACGACCGCAAAGCCGTCGCCCTAGGCAAGCCAACAACACAGGTTGGTGCAAATGTACGTATCCGCGCATCTATGTCCATAGACAGCAGGATATTCGAGATGGAGACAATGCCCACTCGGTGTATCCCGGTCCCGGCCCTTTCCAAAGAGAGCCAAAAGAGGAAAGAAGAGACTTTCGAAGAAAAAAAAAAGCCCAGCCGCCGTGTTCCTTGATGCTCGAAAAAAGAAGAAAAACAAAAAAGGTTCAATGTTGTATGACCCCCTGCGGACGTCCTCTCATAATGATTAGAGCCAAGGACGCCTCAAACGCCAATGTTTTGATGTATGATGAGCCTTGTCGCGTAATAAGGCCACGAGAGTAGGGAAAACCGTATCGTCGTTCTGTCGTATCCAGTTTTGCACGCCTTTTATATCTCGATTTCCTTCATCGGCTCCTCCGATACCTCGGCCTGCTTCCCGTTGGCCTTGCCGTTTGTGTTGCTGACGGGGTTCTGGTTCTCCTTGCCTTCGCCCTCGGCGGGTTCAACGTGCGCCAAGAGCGACGCGCGGGAACCCTTGCCGTTGTCCTCGCTCGGACGTGGAGTTTCGACTTCGACGAGCTTCGTGGGCTGCTTGAGGCCGTTGGTCTCCAGCTCCGGTAGGGCGGATTCCTCGGCCACTCGTGCGAGGGGGCTGGACTTCCCGTAGCCAGGGCGAATGGGGCTGGCCACCGGAGAGGTCCCCCCCAATCGCTGCATCGATCTTCCTCGTTGTTCGCCGTTGGGCTCGGCCGTCGGGCTTGTGTACGGGGAGTTGGCGCCAGATCCTGCCGGAGAACCGCCTTTGTTGGAGGGTACGACGGACTTGCGCTTCGCGGCTCTACGGCCATACTTCTGGTCCATGCGCCATCGCAGAATGCCGAAGTAGGGAGGCTCAACACGCGTCTCCTTAAACTCCCGCAACTTGAGCTCGTTGGTCTCCTCATCCACAAACCACTTGCCACTGGAGAGGTCGTCCGCAACCATGGCAAGGAAATGGGCCCAAGATCGAGCAATGACGTACTTGGTATCGTAATCGCGGCCGAAGAGAACAATCTGTCCCCATGTTCCGTTGGGACCAGGAGCGAGATCCACAGCCAGGTTGTTTCCACCCCAGTCGCGCACGAGAGGGATCCAAGCCGGGTGGGCATAAGAGCGCTGGATGGCGTTGGGAGGGACGCTCTCCTGGCGAGCGATGAGGTCCTGGCGCCACGAACCGTTGTTCGCGGCAGCGGGCGAGGCCGGTGTCTTGGAAGACGAGGCCTGGCTACTGCTGCCGAGAGCCTTGGGCAGAGCGGCGGGCCTGGCGTAGGCCGCTTCTGAGAGAAACTCTTGGTTGACCTTTCGCCATTGATCCCATTCCTGAACCATTTCCTCGCAGTCGAGCAGCATGGAGCCGAAAATGATGCCGGTGGGCATTCCCAGTCGTTCTTGGCCGTCATGAATCATTAACGACTCTCTCACATCCAGGGGCAAGGAGCAGTCCAGTTGATGCTCCAACTCGTTGAGATCGTTGTCCGTGCAGCCCTCGCAGAGCTGATCAAAAAGCTCGGGATAGTGCTCCTCGGCCCATGCATCGATCTTCTTCCATGAATGGGAAACTGGAGGCGGAGGAGGGGAACCGTCTTGGAAAGACTGCATGGGGACATCCCCCGGACTTTGCAGCTCGAAGCCATCCACCTGGCTCTCGCGACGGGCAGATTGAGACCTCATGCCTGGAGAGTAGGGCGCCGAAGGGTTGGGGCTGGTCGGGGTGTAGGGCATGCCACCGCCTAGGTAGTTGTTATCGCGGGAGAATCTGTTGTAGTCTTCTGTGAAGGGGGAGGAGACATCGGCACGGGACTCGGAGGCGGTCGCAACGGAGGTGAGGATGCCACTCTGGCGGTTCAGAGGAACGTGTCGACCGGTTCGGTGGGGAGAGTCAACGGTAGAGTCTGGGATGCGTCAGTTTGATCATGATGAACCCCTAGTCTGCAAAGTTATTTTAAACGTACGTCGGTCGTAGCTGGTCAGGTCGTGCCAGAGGGAGCGGAAAGCCGCACCGAGCCTGTAGTCGCATAGTCAGTGTCTCGGCCCTCCTTTGCGTCCCAAGAAAAAGGGAAATGAACGGCAAGAAGGATTGGATGTCAACGTACGAAGACGCCATGATTGGCGATGGAGCCCCTGGCCTGTTTGACGAGACAATGATCCTGATCCGGGTTGTAAAAGAATACAAAAAAAAGACGCGTGAGGCCGGTTGCGGTTGTGCGAAGGCGAAGAAAGGGCAGCGAAGATTGGGGGTTGAAGAAAGTTGATTTACCCCCTTTGGTCGCTGGCGTCCAAGTTAGGGGTAACGGCCGAATCGTCAAAGACAGGAGAGAAACGTCCTTGATGGGTTCCCCTAAGGGTGGCGATTGGGGGGGGGGGGGGGGGGGGGGGAAGAAAACGGTCGACCACCAGTAAATTATTGGCTGGTAACCAAGTGAACAGAGCCTAGGGCGACACAGCGAGAGGGTGAAGATTGGGCAATGAATCGTGAGTTGCGAGAGAAAGTATGGTTCCGAAGAAGCGCAGTCAGGTCAGGGGCGGGTCGCGAGGGTTGGATTGTGTTTTTGTCCGACGGGTGCGTGGAATTTTTAAAGTTGGGGACGATGGCGTAGTAAACCCGTCGCGCTTCCACAGTGCCTAGTCGGGGGGTGAGGAGGATTGGATAATGGCAAGCGCAGCGGTAGCTCCTAGTGCAACGTAGAGAAAAGCAGTGTAAGTATAGTAGGTAGCTAGCTGTACCTTAGTGCCTGAAAGTCCGATGGCATTCGTGCACTAGGTAGGTACCCAGATAGGCAGGTAGATGAGCCAGCAGGAACAAGGCCAAAGTGAGAGATGATGAGGTGGGCGACGTTTTGGTGTGGTGGGTAGTAGCGTGGTTTGTGGTACTCCAGAGGCCCCGTTGTCAGCGTTGTCTCCTTCGAGAGCCAGAGAGAGGCGAGAAAGGGACGGTGGGCGTGGAAGAGGGAGGGGGAAGGGAGGTCGAGTGAAAGTGTGGGACCTTCAGAACGGTTTAGGAGAGAAGGGGGACCCCTGGTCTCTCCTTTCTCATTAAAAATGCTAACTGGTGCCTTCCTTGTCGGAGGGAGTAAAAAAGGCCAAAAACCAGCCAACAAAAAGCAAGCAAGCAAGCAGTGCAGCGGGTGGTCCTAGACAAGAAACATGCGAGAGACAAGCCAGGACGCTGCTTCGACGGCCTGTTTCCCGAGCGAGGGGAGGGTAAGGTGAGGGACTGAGACTTTGGCGGTGCAAAAGCGAGTGTCGATGTGGTCGGTGATGAGAGTGAGAGGGGTTTGATGTAAGGCCATGTAACGGCTAAAGAGGAGACGAGAAAGATAAACCAGGAAGAAAAAGTTGGCAGAGATGTCCATATGGATGATGACGATAAGCTTGGTTGGATCTTCAAATGCGACTATGTTGGAGTGCATTGCCTGCAGATACACTTTTGTCACACTCAAAGACACACGTAGCTCCGGCACGTATACCTACAGTTGTCGAGGTACGGCTTTAGCTGATACATCCTTGCGTCTGTCTGTGGAAAAGCCTTGGCCAAGTCACTTTAACGGCTGGATGATATTGATAGGGCAAAACGGGGTAGGATTGTCACTTTGGGATTAGGGGGGTGGGTGATGCGACGGGCTTTAGTAATGTGATTGATACGTTGGCAGAAAGGGAACTCGAACACGCACGTATTGAGTGGGTGTCGGCCTTCTATGACTCTCATTCCCTCCATTTACGGGCTTTTTGGAGTAGCTTCTCATTGGAAAGGGCAAAATAATAGGAGACAGGGGCGACCGAGCGTGTAAAGGGCCGCTAAAGAGGGGCGAGTGAGAGTGGAGTGGGTGCTCAATATCATGGTGAGGTGGTGTCGTCGCTGCTCAGGAACGGCGCTGGTTGCT